GCTTTTAGTGAAAGCACTACTTTGCCTGTTATAAAATAGAACGGCTCAGGAGATAAAAACATTTAGTATTTAAGAAAAAATAATGCCTTTTAAAATTTACCTGCAGACTGGCAAGTCAGATGACTCGATGGCACATCCAAACTGATGGATTCCCCTGCAGAAGTTGTTCCTACCCCACTGTTAAAAAAATGTTATTAGAAGTTGTTATCATTAAGAAATTAATAATTGCTTTCAACAGCAACTTTGAAATGCAGTAAAAGACTTATGATAAAGTTTCTAAGTCAGTGTAAATCACAGAAAATCCTGTAAAAGCAAAAGAATTTATACTGGCTGATGTTCTGCCCCTACAGTTTACACCATCTGGATGATGAGATGGATGTAAGACAGAGCTTGGACTCTGGTTTTTGAGATTTGACACAATTAAGCAGTTGAAAGAATTTTTTCAAACTTGGGTATCACTAGCAAGGTTTTCATTTTCCTCCCTGGGTCTTTTTCTTGTTGATAATCAGGAGGATATATTTGGATTCACTTAAGAACACAACTCTGCTGTTTATTAGGCGGCTTTTGCAGCATCTGGCTTCAGCCCTGCTGACTGGCAGGGAACAGACCTCAGAGAGGGGAGGGGAGTTCAGCTTTCTGTAGAGCTTCTCACTCGTCATGGAGATGCTGCTGTGGTGTCACGATATAAAAATGTTGGCTTTGCTTTTGTTGGTCAATACTGAAAAATGATTCCTGACATTTCTGCTGTGTATTTTGGGAGAAATCCATTTCAGTCTTGGACTGTGCTTTTAATTGAAAAAAAATGCCTTCCATCTAAAGCACTTAGTTAAGATTTTATTTGTTTAGTGTATTGGTTTGTTCAAAAAAAACCAAATGAATCCCAAACAAAACAAAAAAAAAAAAAAAACTCCACACAGATTAGCCAAGAGTATTAAGTTTATTGACCAGGCCTGTGTCTGGATTAGATTATAATTGTCTTCCATTCAGTTTCTCAAATATTTTCCTGATCACTCATCGAGAATATTACATTTTTCCTTCTTCGTGTGGTTTCTTTTCCTTCCTTGTGGGTGGAACTCCAAGTCTTCCTCTGATAAAAGCTTGTGGCTTTCATTTTGTTGGCTTACACTAATTGCACAGCACACAGATACTGAGGCATTGACAGCTTTGTAACTATGATATAAATCCATCCATAACACCTAAGTATATGCTTGGATACGGGTATACATAAGCATCAGAACATAATGTTGTAATTAATGTGACTTAATACCTGGTTCTGGATAACTGGAACACAGTAAGTGACAGTGGTTACTGTTTAAATATCATCACTGTTATTTTGTTTACACCAGGGCTGCTGGAGTCCTATAAAGGAGGTAGGGCAGGGCAGGAGTTCTGCTTCTGAGCTGAGGCTAAGGCATATAACCTGGGAGAGTTGCCCAAGCCACTGGGAAATGCTAGTAACACTGAATGATCACTGTAAAGGAAACCAGTTTTCATCACTCGCACTCAGGCTGATATGGGACCAAAGAAAGGAATGGGAGCAAAGAAATGCAGGGTTATGCATCTAATAACTGGCATTTCTGGCAGATCTAGAAAGGGACCTTGAGACCCTCCATGTCTGACTTCTAGGAGTCTTTGACTCTAAAATTGAATATCCTATTTGTCTTGGAAAAAAATTAATTTGTGTGGAATTACCTAAGAATGATAGAAAAACTCTAAGACTGTGATTCTGAAACAATTGAGTACAGCCAGATAGTTCATTCTTCCAGCCTCAAGCTGCTTAGTTTGTTCAAGTTTGTTTGGTTTTGTTTTTTTTCTATGATAATGGCAATATTGGATGAATGCTGAATTCGTTATCAGTGTAGGTTAGGACTGATTAGAGCCTCACTGTCAAATTATATCTCAGAGAGGACTAGTTGTCTGCCCCCTGCCTAATTTATGACTTTTCATCAGGGTTAGATGAGAAATGGATGCCAAGATGCAAAGGTCTGCCACAACAGCAGCAGCTGTGAGCACACATAGCAGCAAAACCTGAAGAATTTACTGGCAAAAACACTAGGAAAACAACAACTTGGAAATAAGAAACTATTCTTTTCCTGAGACTGGCTTTATTATCAAATACTGTGTCTTATTTTTTGCATGCTTTTGCATCAAGCCATGGTCTGTGCAAGCATTTCATTTTAGCAAAATGGAGCTCGTAGAATTATAGAATATCCTGAGTTGGAAGGGACCCGTTATGATCATCGAGTCCAGCTCCTGGCCATGCACAGGACAGCTCCAAGAGTCAGAAAATGTGCCTGAGAGCATTGTCCAAACAATTCTTGAACTCTGTCAAGTTTGATGCAGTGATCACTTCCCTGAGGCCCTGCTACAGTGCTCAACCACCCTCTGGGTGAAGTATCTATTTCTAATATCCAATCTAAAGTTCTCCTGACACACCTTCATGCCATTCCTATCTCTGGTCACAAGAGTGAAGAGATTGATGCCTGGCCCTCCACTTACCCTCACAAGGAAGTTGTAGACTGCAGTGAGGTCTCCCCTCAGTCTTCTCCAGGCTGAACAGACCAAGTGACATCAGCCACTCCTCGTATGGCTTCCCCTAAAGCTGCTTATTTCTCATCTGTATGTGCAGGAGACAGACTCCAGACCTCTATTGTTGTTCTTTGTTGATGAGCCAGTATTGCTGGACCTAGTGATACCATTGCCTTTTACATAAGAAGAAGCTGTATTGAACTTTGGTGTACAATTCACATAATACTTCTTCGATCTAGGGCAGCTGTGATTTATTTTAAATTGAAGAGTTTTCAAAGAACTTATTTTAAATTTTGCAATTAAAAGAATCTATCTTTATTTCCCTGTATACTTGCCCCTCTTTCTTGCTGTGTATTTATTTATAGCCACTAAGATTCCAAGTATGCCTTTCTGGATCAGGCCAGAGCTTTCTCATAAATATATCAAACTGAAATAAAACACTAATATATAAAAGGTTACATATTCTAGGCAAAGTAGACACAACAGATGCAGGACATAAAATCACTGATGAAAACAAATTTGAAATACAGGAAGCTTTTTCCTCTGTGATACATAAAATCTGCTTCATAGGTGAAGAATAGTATGTGTCTCATGCTTCATGCAACTTTTAGTGATGCCTTGGGCAACATTTTCAAATATGGATATCTTCTGGTCATCTTTCAAAGTCAGCTTGCTGAGACAAAAGCAATATTTAAATTAATAGAACTGGGGGGTGAATATGTAAATATGTGATTATTCTCTCTTGAAGTCTTGTGCATTGCATATAGAATGGTTTTGGTGTTTAAGCTGATTGTGTAAAGTTAGTTTAGCAGGAAATATCAATAAAATTACCGTTTTGATTCAACTGGTTCTTTTCTTCAGCAATAATCAACTCTGCAGCAAGTCTGCCCCATTTGTGTTGCTCTTTGATTGAACTACTCTTGGGAGACTCCAGACTGCTAGATTAAAAAGCTAGTAAAAGCTTTTGTATAAAAGTAGCTGTATGGCATTTGATTTTTATAGCTTATAAAGATATTCAGAAATATTTGCTTTCTTTTTTGTTATTATTTGTTATTTTTGAAACCTTTGTTTTAAACAGAGCTGTCATAAATAGACTCAGCAGCCTGTAAATCCATTGGGCCCTCTGCATGATAAAAAAACATCTGCCTGTTCTTCCATGCTGAGAACGAACTCCAGAGATTTCCCTGACTTGGACAAAATGAGAAAATGCACTTCTTTGAGCTAAAATAACCCACTTGATAAAGCATAATTCTCTTCCAATCAAGTTACCTCCTATTCCTACTTTATTCCAGGTTATCTCTGACTTTTCAGCTTGATCTAAATACTCATTTGCTTGCTATACTTATGTTTAATATGGTTTTAAAACTCTGTACCTGTATGCTGTACTGGTGCCTGCCTGGGAATCACTTGTGAGACAGAACTGGATTTCCTGTTGTTTGTGCCAAAACTGCTAAAATTATGTTTTTCTGTTTCATGAAACTTGCTGAGTGGAAAAAAAAAACTCGTAACATATAGTGACAGGATATCATCTCTCCAAAGTCACTCCAAATTTAAAAAAAAAAAGTTGTAATTAGTAACTTACTGTACAGATGAGCTGAGTAATAGTTTTTGTGTTTTGCTTTGGTTCTGAGCAGACAACCTGGAAAGGAGCTAACCCTTTTTTGTTGGATTTTATGTATTTTTTTTTTCATTTATTGTGAAGGTAATTGTTTCTTGAATGAAGTTTTAGTTATGTGTTTTTTTAATTTGGTTTCTTGAACTTTGAGAGGTGAGAACGGGAAGTATCTGTTTTCTGGCTGTGAGGGTGGGCGGATCACTGCTGGCAGCAAAGACTTTTTTTAAAAAGCTACAGAAAAGAAAGCTTCTACTGTTCAGAACTATTTTAATGCATTCAGCATTCTTTACAGACTGGAAGTGATGAGTACACCAAGTTACAAGTGCAGATTTCTAAGAGGGCTTGATACAAAATTATGTTGTTAACACTGCATTGTGAGAAGGTCTAAGAGTGGGTGCCTTTTGAGAATCTTGCTTTAATAGCTATGAAAAACAAAAAAAAGGAACTGATTCTTTGTTTTAAACATAACCCTCTTATGAGTAGATTGCTGAGATAGAAGAGAAAGGTGACAAATTGAAGAATGGACTTGAAGGTGTACATGGGGGGAAATTCTATCTAGGCTCAATGAAGACTTTTGATTAGTATTTAAGCATTACATTAAATTAGTTTATTTGATTAGCATTATTTCAGCAATCAAGGAACCAAATATGCTTTACTGCAGTTGAAACTCTGAAAGTCAATCCCTTGGACAGCTGAAGACATCAAATAAATGTGTAATCATGCACTCTGATTGAATTCTAATGCTGGTGAGCAAACAGCTCAAGGTTTTAAGAAGTACTGCTATTCACCACAGGCTTTTTTTTTATGTGACACAGTCTGTGCTGCTAATCAGATGTGGTATGTTTCTGTCTTGCAGATTTACCGCTGGATTATAGATTTACACGATTTTCCTCAAATAGCTCTGCAACTGCCGGGTACTATCCAAGCCCTCCAAGAGCCCTGCTGCCAAATGAGGAGTCAGTGACTATGAAATAGGTTGTTGGCTTTTTCCTTAAATAACCCTGTGGCCCTTACTTAAACTGCTATCAAATGCTAATTGGTGAAAATGCTGTGTGATGCTTCATAAAATAGAGTGATGGATTAAAGCAGATTCCTGCGTAGACTTGTGTTTCACTTTTTTCTCTAGTTCAGCTGGAACAGATAAGCAATGCATTCTTCTCTTTAAATCTTTGAACCACCACTACCTTTAGTAAAGCACTATTGGCTTTTTTCATGCACTGCCCACAGCCTTCAAGAGAAATGTAGTAGTACTAGCTCATGCCAAGTTACATTCTACATTTTTGAGGACATTTTAGGTACTATCCCTATGTAAGGTGATGCTGTTGCTACCATAAACCCCAGGAAAGACACAAACCAGACCCTAGCCATATTTCATGAAGAGTTATCTTGTAAGTAATATGCAACATTTCCAAATTAGCATTAAGCATTGATTTATTGAAAGGGAAACATAAAGCAAATTGGAACAAAATTGATTAAAACTTTCTTTAAAACAAGGTGGATGAGGAATGAAAATGAAAGTGCCATTCTCCTCCTCACAAACTTTGGGCTGAAAATATTTGACTTAAGATGCTAACAGTTAGTAATACTTGACTTTATTTTGAAATTTTTTAATTAGCATCAATGTCTTTGGCAGCAAATCTGACTCATGATAGGGATATGATTTGTATTAAGCAGAGAGATACCCAGATTAAAATCTCAGATCTCTGATTACAACATCATCGAAATTCTAACCTGAATCAAGTAATCCTCTGCAAATAATTTCTAACTAGGTTATGGTGCAAACTGATATTGTGTACCCTCACACTTTTGTGGTTCTGAATTTAGAAGTGACTTTTCTAGGTTGGGGATTTTTTTCCTTTTTTTTTTTTTTAAAGAAAACTCATTGAGTTTTTAAAGAAAATTGGAGTGAAAATCGTCTAAGTAAGTCCTTGGGTCCCGGTGTCTCAGTGGAGAAACAATATTTTTTTTAATGGACAGGTGGCAGATTCTAAGGACAGACTGAACACAAAGCTCATCAGAAGAATTACGTATACGCATCTTTGACAAAGGCTGTCACCAGCCATTTGTGCTTACTGCCAGAAGGACATCAGAGTAGCAGAGAAACAAAAAGATAACAGACAGCTACTATAAGCATTACACCATGTGCCACCATAGTCTGTGGCTGCTGGAAGACTTGGGAAAAATAACTGAAGTGGTTGCCCAAAAAATAAAGTTCCTCTTACTGAAGACTCTTCTCTTTAAAGATCTGTGAAAATTACACATCTTATTACAAAACAGAGATTGGCAATGGAGGAATGAGGAGGGCAGTTGGTACTGTGGCAACAGGAGAGCCATTGGAAATGGAGGTGGTGTGAAGAGCCAAGGAGAAGAAATGCACATGGCAGAAAATTGGTAGAGATCTGTCCATATTTAACATGACACTCTAAAGACACCATCTTTGCTTTTTCCTTATTTCTCATTTTTTTTTGTTTTAACCCCTGGAAATCTCTGAAATTTCTTGGCTTCTCTTATGAGAGACCATTGACAGAAAGGTTGCTGAAGTGCCTGCAAAACTATCTTGAGCATCAGCAGAGAGACAAAGTTGTAAACATTCATTAAAATCACTGTGTCTGGTTAGACAGCCCTGAAAGCCACAGTTTTGCTTAAAACCAGAGATGAATACCAAGTCTCTTTTGGTGTCTGTTTTGGTATAAAGCACATGTGTCTGAATTTTAAAATAAAGAGAATTTATTTCTGAAAAAATACATGTCCTCTGAATTTACTTTATAGCTGAGCAGCAAAAAGAAAAAAGGGAGACAAGGGTTGTCTCTAAGCAGTGCAAGGAGATGCTTGTGCTACAGCCTTTGATGCAAAGCAAAGTTCACTGCAAGTGTTTCCTGAATAGGGCTTCTTCCTGAGAACTAAAGGCTTCTTCATCACCAATGAGTAGAAGTTGAATAAACAAACATGGGTAGATTATCCATGGCAGACACCAGGCACTGCTGGACACGGAGTTTTCTGAGACTGCTGCTTCCCCAGGGTGATGGGGCTCTCCAGCTCCTCTGAGTCCCAGGTCTGTAACAGTACAGTAGCACTGGAGCAATTCCTACGGAAATTCCCAGGAAAATTTGGTGACAGACACTGGGAATTAGCATTCCTCAAACTGGTTTAAGTCTTTCTTTCTGAGGCCAAGTATACATTAAATCATACCAAGGTAAAAAACGGAAAAGCATTAAGAATATGTAAATTAACAGAGATGCCAAGAGTGGGAAGGCAGCACCTGAGCTTCCATGTCAACTCTGTTTTTCCACCACGGGGAAGAAAAATGCCATAAGTGTCAAACACCCTTCTGTACACAACCTTGATGTTTTACTGTATGGTTTCTCAGAAAGTCAGGTTTAGAAATAAGGTCACTTCTGTGTAAGAAGATAAAAGTCTCACACACTGTACCATACAGTGAGGGATCTGATGGGAAGATGTTGCTTCTGACCTCCCAGGGAAGGGGGCATTGCATGGGGCCTGCTGCTCCTTAGCACCATGGAAGAAGCAAGATAAGTTTTCTGGTGCATTAAAATGACTGACTTTTAAAACAAAATATACCTATTTCTGTACACATGCTTGGAAGCAAATAGCATTTCATCAGATTTAGGTGGGAAAGCACATGGCTAAGCTACAGGAACCTTACCTCTGCAAAGAGTGCCAGCTGTAATGGCATAATCACCACAATGGCATAGCCACAGACATCTATTGTTAACAATTGGCCACAAAGCAGCCCTTCCAGCAAGCACATAGTCAATCCAGATCACCCCAGAGGAAAAGCTCAATCTCATCATAAATCCAGTTGCCTGTAATTTTGTTTTCTGCAATTCTAAGTAAGTGGAACATCAAACCCCCTTGGTGAGTCACAGGAGAGAAAAAAAAATTAAAAAGAAGTTTTCTTCTAAATGTTTTCGGTGCAAGAAACAAATCCTGTTTTTCCATAACCATTATAAATAGAAATGCTTAACTGGAAAACAGAGCCTGGATTAGAGCCAAAATAAGATGGAATCCAGGAAGTTAAACAGACTCAGAGATTTCCAGCTCTAAACGCCTGATAGCATCTTCAAAGGGCAAACTGGGAATTCCTATCTACAGGTCAATGGACTAGTACTGTGGCCAGCATGACCAAACATTTTCTTGAATATGGGACAAAAGTGTAAGACAAATCTTTTCAGCATGAAGTGGGTACCCACAGGAGTTCTCTGGCAAACATGGCAAGACCACGGAGGTTTTGCAGCTGACCAGATGTCACAGTTCACAGAAGGGCAAACATCCGAAGCATCGCATTTAACTTCTGCCCCGCTGCAGCTAAACTGATTTAATCAGAACTGTGCTAAAAATCCCTCACGCTTCCCACTCGTGCTGCTGCAGCACATATGTAGTTCTCTCACACATGGCCATAACAACTTTTAAATACTTGCATAGGGGTGAGAAACCATCACAGCCACTTCAAAACCATATTATGGCTTCCAGCCCCTCCTGTAAATTAGAGGTTGCAAGACACAAAATGGCAGCAGCACAAATGGAATAGCAGTCTGCACAGCACACACCACAGCTCCAATGGCCCAGATGAAGCAGATTCTGCCAGTTAGAAAGGTATTTCTATTTTCCATTTACTACTAAATATTGAGTAAAAACACACAGTCCGTTTGATTCCCTCTTACAAGGTTGAAGACTACATTCCTTTTAAGAGTGAAGAAAATCTTAAACCACCTTACATTGTATACAGGAGGAAAAAATTAGATGTTCTTGTCCAAAATTTATGAGAGAAGTAGTTTCAGGATGTATTTTAGGAAAAGAAGTCGATTAACTTTCAATAGACCTTGTTCTGTCACAGTACTAAAGGAAGTCTAAGAATTGTGACTCTGTGCGCCTAATAGCTTTACATTAAAGGATTAAATTTCTAAAGCCTCCACCATCTCTGAGGAATAAAAGTACAGGTGAATATAGCAACTCTTCTCTTGCCTTATCTCAAAATAATACCAGAGAGTTGCAGTATTCTTACTACATCATCCCCTGTAATCTCAGCCCACACTGAGAAATTAAATGTGTGCTCCCAGGTGCTAAGAAGCCTGTGAAGTATATTAATCCAAAGAAGATGCCCTTGTAAATTTTGTGAAAAGAAATGGGATGTTATGAAATTAAGAGATAAAAAAATTCTTTATCTTATACTGACAGAAGCCTCAAAAATATCTACTGAAGGGCTGCTGTTGAAGCAGCTGCAGCAGTGTTGGAGATGGCAACAGTGAATTTCTACCCTTGTTTTTTCTCTCAATGCTGCCCAGAAAAAAGGGCATGAATGCCCACATACATACATACATATATATATTGATACACATATATACATATACATATACATGAACAAGCAGCAATTAAAGGCTAGGATCCCATGACATGGAAACCCAGAGACTAATGGAATTATGAAATTATCTGCATTTCATGGGAGGTGTGGAGTTTTAGGTCAATTAAATAAACTAAGCACTCTCAGGCAGTAAGCAGGGAAATCTCTAGATCAGTAGTAGACAGGTGATGGAAAATGGAGTGTAGACGAAGCTCAAGGACAAAAAGGCCAAGGGTCAGCATGAGCTGACAATAGTTCAACAGGGCAATAGATGGCTAGATGATATCAGGGAATGGAGTTTATCACAAAGTCACAGAATATGCCAACTTGGAAGGGACCCACAAGGATCATGAAGTCCAACACCTGGCCCTGCACAGGACCATCCCCAAGAGTCACTCCATGTTCCTATACATCACAGAAAATAATAATTTCAAAAAAATATTGTGTGGGGTTTTCCTCTTTCCCATGTTATTGTGCAGGACTTGGAGATACCTGGTACATTACTGATATTAATCCATTAAAAAAATGAGAAAAAAAAATGCAACCGAAAGACAGTTACATTAATTTAAGAAAATAAACTTATTAACCATTAATATGACCATTATTAGATAGATATTCCAAAATGCACCTGTAAAAGTATTTGTATGTGCATATACATATGTGTGTACACATTTAGAAATTACTGCTGTGCAGAGTACACTGCCAGTGATTTGACGAGTATGGATGTTACAAGAGTCCCTGAAATACTCAACAACAGTGCCCCAAAAGCCCCAGTACAATACACCTAACAACCAGTTATGATGTAGACTAGTGCAACAACCTCCTGAAGACCCTAAAATTAAGTGCAATGATGGAGCTGTCTTTAGGGAATATGTTCAACTACAAGAGCCACCAGTTGCTGAAGCCATTGCTTCAGAATCAAGTGCAAAGAACTGATTGCTACAGTACACTCTAGTGAAGCATAGGTAAGTATTATGTTTAAGTGGAAATTAATTTTTGATGCCTTCGTTTGTGTTTGATTTAATGTCTCACCCTTGAGACTTGGCTGCAACCAGGATGCAGCAAATCGGATGAGACGTTTACAAAGAGAAATTGAGAGTCAGAGACCAGTTCAAATACAGTCTCTAAGACACACCTCTTTCCTTAAATGTCTCTAGTGTAAGGAAGAGGAAAGAGACATGGGACTATGAAACAAAAGAATTGGGGTGGGGATAAGTAAGAAACTTTTAAAAATTTTCTTGAATTCCAGCAATTGCTTAGTTCTCTGTTCGGCATTCCACATATCAAGTGACTCCATAAAATAGGTGGATTCTAGCCTTAAAAATGCCTTTCATTAAAAACAGCATGTTACAAATGGGAAACATTATTGCAACATATCTGGTATCCAAAAAGGGACATCGTGGCAGTCAGCTCTAAGAAAGCACTGATGAAGTCTGGTTTTGGAAGGTTCTGATGGGTATGAGCATTAAGGTTTTGTGCTCCACAGGGAATACTGCTTGGGTTTTAACATCGCAGAAATTTGGAAGGAAAGAAGTTGACAAAGATCATACATATTGAGAAAGGTCACACATTTGAAAACATAAAGTAACAACCAATTCAACTGAGTGAAAAGCCACATGCTGCTGGAGAGGTTACCCCTCTCCAACCTGTTCTGATCATCATCAGAGAAAAGAAGGGGTACGTGCTAAAGAAGGAGCAGGCCAGTCAGGCAACCTAACAGCCACTAGAAGATAAACCTACACCCAGTGTATGTCTACAGCAATGTAAAAGCAGTAGCGTGGATTCTGATGTTAAAAGGCACAGAACAGATGACGCAAGTAATTTTATATTAGATCCAGGTATTTTTTGCTATTTCACAGTTAAGTGAGTATGTACCTTCTTTATGGTTGCTGTCTTCCTGGCATGTCTCAGGACCATGAATCTGTCTCCATTCACCAATGTTTTGCCTCATTACTGATGCTGCAGCTTCCCATTTCTTAAGAAATCTGCAGGAATTCTTTTTTTCATCTGACTTTCTGTCTGCTGGCCTCTGGCTAAACCAGGATGAACACATGGTGGGAGCCAGAAAGAGGGAAAGAAAGGAAATGTAAAGCAGAGAAAGATGTTCCATTTACATACAAAGAAGAGCTGTTTAGGAAACACATCTAGTGTTTTCCCTTTCCAGCTACCCTACTGATACTTTGGCTACCTCAAAGTAGAAGAGTAAAAGGCTGCATTTGTGGGAAAGAGAGAAGTGTTTCCAATTTGTAGATGCAGAAGCAGGCACAGGATTTTTCTCTGAGAGAAATTGCTTTGTGCCACACTGAATGTCCTCCAGACAGACAGGTACCCTGATGAGCTTAGACAAGATTTCTGGATTTCCAGCTATTTCTGATTCTTAGTG